CGCATGGACAAAGTTGGACATTCAGTCCAAAGAAAGAATGAAATTAGAGGACACATCTGATGTCGAAGATGAGGAAATCAATCCCTTGGGGGATTCTAAACCAGGGACAGAATTGGAAAGTACGACCAGAAATTTAGTCCACTTTTCAAGATATCGAGATGCAAATCAACATTTCTGACTTTGTTCTCTACGATCATAATACAGTTTATGATGATTATCCGATTGATGATAATTATCACATTTATGATGATTAATCCATCTTATGATGAAGATTTAGTTTATGATGATAATATAGTCTATGATAAATCTGATGGAGAATCAGATTATGAAGATCTAATAGAGGAAGATTTATCATTTGACTTTTTGTCTAAAGAAATTGATATCACTGAATATGAAGCAGATTCAAGGATGAATCTTTTCCTAGCAGGGGAGAATGATGCACTTACATTTGACTCATTGTACATGACTCAACCATTGATTCAAGAAGCTCAGAGTCAATCAAAATTGTGGCCTTGGAAGTATGTCCTAATTGTTAAAAGAAACAGTAATTTGAAATATAGCATATTGCGATCAAATCCAAGTCCAAAGGAAGCAACATATATGATTCTAATTTGTTTGACAAGAAAAGAAAAATAACATATTTTGCATGATTTGATATCTAAGATTGTGGACATGTTTTGAATAATTTGATTGTAATTATTTATTTATTTTTAGAAGTTAATTATCATTATATTTATTTTTAGGAATTTTACTTATTTTTAGGATTTTAAATTTTGGATCAATTTATAATTAGTCTATAAAATGGTGCTTATGACCCTTATTGTAAGAGTTGAATTTTGTTAATTAAAAATTAAGAACCGGAGGATTACTCTTTTGTAAAATTGACTTTCTGTTTAGCCACATTTTCTATGCAGTTTCGACATCAATATCATTAATTACTCCTCGCACATTAAACTTGCTCCTCACCAAACTATAAAAGGGTGCTTATGACCCTTATTGTAAGAGTTGAATTCTTTTATTTTCATTTGATCAAATTTAAATCAATATGTAAGATTATAGAGATAGAGAAAATTGTTGGCTGATGATTTAAATATGATTTAACGATAATAAAAGAGATAGCAAGGTAAGACGGTAAGTATGGTTTTCCTTCCAAACTAAATAGTAAGTAATTTTGTATTGTTGATGTTTAAGCAATTGAAATCAACATTCAATATCAGAATACCCTACGCAAGGCCTCTCAACCCAAACACCTACACATGTTAATGCCTCAATGGCATGAAAGTTTCAAAACTATATGGGACCCAAAATTAAAGTATTATAAAGATAGGTTTGAGGATTAAAGCCTTACTAACGAATCCACAATAATGGCAATGGATAGAGGTTGGAGTGTGGACTCAAGCTTTGTGCATTTTAAGTGGTGATTTTGACTTTTGAGTTAAGAAGAGGAGAATAAAATGTGATAATTAAGGTTGTCCTTGTGTTGAATAAATGTGCTTCCTCTCTATCTCTCGAGAAATCTTAGATTTTATTGCTGTTTGCAATTGTCTGCCTTATGTTTACCATGTTTGGATGTGGGATTTAAAGGTAATCTCTTTGCAAAGATTATGGTAGTACTCAATCAGAGATACTTGAATTGGTTGAGATATTGCTTTTGGGTCTACTTTATGGTGTTTGAAGATTGTTGAGGGAGTTTCCCTCATATGCTCCAATGCACAAGAGGTGTTGGGTGGTGCATCTAGAGATGGCAAAGCAGATTAGATCCTGTGGGCCGACCCGTCCCGTCTGCCAAATATGGCGGAGTGAGTTATGTTTTACAACGCACCTACTTGCCAAACCTGTCCTGCCAAGGGGCGAGTTGGCCCATTTAACTTTTTTTTAATATATAAATTTTTACTTTACACCTAAACTTTGTGCTTGGTCATAGTTTAATATTTGTTATATTAATATTGACACGTGTCTGCTGAATACTTATAATGGTGATTTATCAATATTCAATCCTTTTAAAAAAAAATTATGATTAATGTAGTTATCCTTATTCTTTTCTTCCAGCCTACTACTCCTTCAATGCATATATCTTATTTGCCAGGTTGGTAGGGCACAGTGGGTTGAGTTTCTCAATTCACTTTCAAAAGCAGGACGGGACAAAGCAGATTGACTTATTTTTATTCGGGTTGATGGTGGGGCAAGATACTTACTCAAAGTAAACACATGTATTTAAGGGTCTGTTTGGTGTGATGTATAAGGCATGATAGTATAAGCTTATACTATACGTTATGACATTTTCAATTGTTTGGTATGACCATCGTATAGTATAAGCTTATATAGCATAATCCCTTAATACTTCAAAACGATATGTAACTTAATCCGGCCTAAGGGTGAGGGATAAGGCCCGATAAAAGATTGATATATTAACATCGTTAACAAATGTAATTCTCAAAAATTAATATATTATTTTAATATTAATATATTAAAATAAAAATTAATTTTTCCAAATATTAAATTTTAAAATATTGAATTTTTTATTTTTATAAAAATTAATTTATATTTTGGACACACTGATCAATAAATTTTTATAAAAATTAATATCATATGACATTTTTTGAAGAATTATATAAATTCTTTATTAAAGGATATTTTTATTAAAAATAGTTATTTTTATCATATATAGTATTATACAGTGCATTACCAAATATTAGATGATATTATCTTATATAATATATTATTTTATACAATACCGTGTCAAACGCTGGATAGTATTAAAATTCAATCAGGTCTTCTACAATCAGACTTTATACTATCAGGTCTTATACTATATTATACACCAAACATGTCCTAAGGGTTTAAGATTTGTTAGTTGATAGTTGGGCCACATTATGTGTGGAATAAACAGGCCCTGAACATTTATAAACAAATTTGTTGGGAAGAAGCAAGTTTGCATAGGACATATACAAATGACTTAGAAGAGTAATTGAGCTAATGGTAATCCTACATGCTAATGAGAGAGAAGTTTGTAAGCCGTTGCACAATTCTGTCAAGACTCAAGAACATGTGCAAAAGAAGCCTTACTAACTTTTCTTTTTCTTTAATAAACAAAGTCTTGATGCTCTTGTTTAAGTTCAGAGTTCAGCCTTTATTTTTTTAATAATATACTAATATAAAGCTTATTCATTATAATCCTTTGATAATATTTATCTTAATAATATATTATAATAATTTATTACCAAAAAATTGTCTCAAAAATATCAAATAAAAATGTTTAAATCGAATAAGAAAATCAAATTTATTCTATTCAAAACATTTTATGAAGAATATTGTACAAAGTATCTTGCATGATATTTTATGAAAAAAAAAACGAATGTTACATAAAGCTGACTTTGTCAAGAGGAATCACTTTATACTCAAACTTGTATTTTGCATTAAAGTATTTTTTTCTCCAACATTCTTTTTGCGTCGTACGTAATAGGATCTGGAAAGGGTGTTAGCAAAGCAAACTTACGATTGATATTATCGATCTTGTCAATTTTATAGTACAACTTAGACATGGCTTGGCTGAGCTTTTTGGGGTGCTTTATATTGTAAGAATGACATTTCATTTTCGGGAATAATTTCTTGCTTGGAGTTGGAGACTTACCATTAGACCGAGAAATTTTTGATGAAGCATTGAGATTAAATTATCAATTCCATCAAATGAAATTTTGACATGTCAAATGGTTTTGGTGGCAAGATCTGGGAAAAATTTTATATGATCCCGGCTCATTTTATTTTTTCTTGGTCCCACTCACAATTCAAACTTTGTTTTGATTATTTTATTCCTGTTTTTTCTTTTGTTTTCCTTTTTTGTCCTTTATATGTGAGAGGGAACATTTGTAAATTTTATGGGACTGATCCATGGAATAACTTCTCCAAGATGTGGTAGCTGAGTTCGTATCATGTCAAGATCAGAATTTTGGGTTAAATTATCCAATCCGAACACAACCTAGTGCAAATCACAAGTCATATAGGTTGATATCAAAAAAATTCAAATTTTTTTCTTTTTTTTAAAAAGAGTAAATACTTTTTTCGGTTCTCAGCAAATTTTACGATACCCGCTTTAGTCCTTAGCAAATAAAAAGACTATTCGTGGTCCTTAAGAAATTCAAAGTGGACCCATTTTAGTCTTTTTGAGAAACTAATATGGGTCTTTTTTGAATTTACGAGGACCACAATTTCAACTAAATGAGTCCATTTTAAATTTCCTAGGGTTCACGAATAGCCTTTTTACTTGCTAGGGACTAAAGCGGCATCATGAAATTTGCTGAGCACTAAAAAAGATATTTACTCTTTAAAAAATTCAAAAATATCTGTACCAAAAAAAAATAAAAAAAATAAAAGAGAAAAATTGAATAAAATACTAGTGATCTACAATGACTTATATTAAAATTATAATTTTTTTTTAATTTTTTTAGATAAAAATAATTTTATGAGAATAATTCGTGTTATTTACTCAATATCATTCACAATCTATTTTATTTCAGATGTCGACACATTTTAACATGTTATGTCGCGGATCGACTCACAAATCATGATATATTTTGCCACCCTTACTCTATATGTTATATTTACGACGCTTTTTTATTAAATTAAAATCAATTTCTCGGTTAAAAAATAACATCAAATAACAATCATTGATTTAATTTTATATAACTATAAAAAAAATATGGCAGAAGATTGTTAAAAAACTGTAAGCATAAGTTGTCCTATTTTATATTTTGTAGGTAATTATTGTTTATTTTCTATGGATTTTATAAGAGTTATGTTGTAGGAAAAGTGATTGTGTTATGTTATAGAGATTCGTTTTGCGTGCTGAAGTTTTTGTTTTTGTTTTTGCTGCAGCCCCACAAAATATTGTGTGTGTAGGAAATTTTTTGTGATCATATTAGATGATAGATGATAAACTCATTTTCTATTTACGGAAAACTCCCAAGATATAGTACTAGGAGTGAGCCAGTGAGTTCCTCCATTCTGCTGTTAATTAATAAATTAAACAAATATCATCGTATAAGAAGTAGGGTTAGGGCGAATTCGAAGTTTTCATAAATTTTGAGTTCTGGCTAGGTTTTTCATCCATGGATGGAAAAATTGAAGTTGAAGGTGAAAGTGGAGAGTGGGAATTGCTGCACAACGATGATCCTCCTCTCCTTTTAAGTCCCCAACTAGACTCCAATCCCTCCCTCATCATGCCCGATCACTTCTCCCTCCATCCAAACATTCCCAATTCCAATTCCAATTCCAATTCCAGTTCCAACTCCAATTCCTCAACCACCGACCCCAACGAGGTTGATCGCAACTTCGATGATTCCTATGTGGTCAATCAACTCTTCCCAAACCCTATGTTGTCCTCTTCCAACCCTAAACTCTGGAACGATTCTGATTCCGATACCACCGATGCCAACACCATGATCATCCATGAGGGTGAGGCTGGTTTCGATTCGAAGGAAGTGGATGAACAACAACAACTACAACAGAACCAGCAAGAGCAACAAGAAGAAGAAGAAGAAGAAACAGAGAAAGTAGTGGTGGAGAAAGAGGAGGAGAAGAGTGTGGTTTGGTGGAAGGTTCCTTTTGAGGTGTTCAAATATTGGGTCCCACTTCCTCTTCCTCTTCCTGTTTGGTCTTTATCTGTGGCTGCTGCTGCTGCCTTTGTTGGGCTTCTCGTCTTGGGAAGGAGATTGTATAAAATGAAGCGCAAGACTCAAACCTTGAGCCTCAACCTTGCTCTCGATGATAAGGTTATTCTCTTAATTCATACTAATAACTGTTTTTGAATTGAAACTCTCTATGGTCACTTAACCACACTTAAGAGGCTCACTTGTCAATTACTTGTTTGTCGTTTCATTTTAAAATTTTTGCATCCAAATTGGAAACTCTGGATTCTTGTGTGTGTTTATTGGATTTGGCTCTGTCGAAAGTGAGGGGTTCACTTTTTGAGTTATAATTGTTGATTGTTAATATTATGATAGATTGTATAAGTAGAACAAACTACGAAGTTGTTCAAATCTATTTCAAACAGTTATAATTCTGCGCTATGCAACCCCTCACTTTAGAGGAGTCAAATTCGTGTTTCGTATTATTGAATTTTCAAGTGTACAAAGACAATTGAGTGATACGGTTATGGATAATACTAGACTTTTTTTTGTCATAACCACATAATTTCAAAGATGGAAACTTGGATAGATTGAGATTTTTGAGAGATGTAAAAAATGTGTTTTTGATCTGTATTCTGTTGGTGTGCAACCCTTTCTTCTTCCTCTGGAGCAGTTTTTTGTTGTTCATCATAAAGGTTTTGGTAAAAACAAAAGGAGGGTAAAGTTTAGTGTCAGTGTACAGTTTGTGTAATCGGTAATCCTTTAGTGCATTTAGTTGGAGGAGCAAAATGATCAAGTCTCGAAGGGTGTCACTTTGCCCTTGAACTTGTGAAAGCATGCAGTTATGTGTATGGCTTCTCTATGTTGTTTTAGGCTTTTATGTTTTCTGCATTCTTGAGTTTATTCTTGTTGTATCAAGAATTTTTATGGCCGTATGAGGAGAAGACCAATAGAAGCTTCTGAAAGAATAGTTGATCAGATGGATGATAGCCCAATAAATATAGATGGAGGAAGATTAAGGAAAAATCTAAGAGAAACCATTAAAAAAGACCCTAATCTAAATGGTGTTTCAGAAACGTGGTTTTTGACAGAACAAGTTGAGGTATTTTGATCCATGTAGCCTACCCTACCTTGTGGGATGTTGTTGTATCTAGAATTTTTTTATTTTATATTTTTGAGGATATCTCTGATCATTCCCCAAACTGTACTTTCCCTATTTTTTTTTTCTAATGTTCTTTCTTATCAAATAAATTCTTTATTTGTTGGTGGTATATAGTATTAAAGGATACAAGACTTAGTGATGTAAACATGGTAGCTTGAGATTTGCATATACCGAATAGGGATGTACCAATTATTGGATAGTGGAAGATTTTATTACTTCTTATCCTATATGTCCTTATTGTATCTTTCTAGGGTCCGTTTGGTGGTTAGGATAGAGAGGTCTTGATAGGATAAGCGATCATATCCTACTCTTATTCATTGTTTGGTGAACCAACATGAAATGATAAACTTATCCTATTGACTCATTTTATCATGTCCAAGCAGGATAAACTACCCTAAAGGGGGACTTGGGTTATGAATGGACAGGATAGGATAACAAATGTCACATTCCTCTCATTCCAAATATAGTACTATGTTATTCCTCTACGAACTTTTTTGTGCATGTAAGGGTTAACCCTTGCCATGACTAGCCGCCAGCATCGTTGCCGCTGGCCATCGGCCAACTCTACCGTCCATTATCACCACCACCATCTATCAACCACCAGTCATCATCATCGCCACCGACCATCATCATGATGAGTTACCAGCCACCACCATTGTCAGTAGCTACTATCACCTTTAACCACCATGCACCAACCACCACCATTGATCAACCCCCAAAATTTCCATTGGTCACCACCGGCGTCGCTATCACCACTTCCACCGGCTACACCCACCTGCCACCACCAATGTTTTTAAAACATAGAGTCTAAGTAGAAACGGCAGGGGTAAGCAGAAACAAAAAAATCGTAAAACGTAAACGAAACGTAAGAGTTTACTACGTACCAAAAAAAAAATATATCCAATATATATAAAACCATAACAAACCAATACATAAGTCATCACAAATTTAAGTCCAAACACTGAAGGAAATAAAAATTAAGTTCAAATTCAGTCATCATAATACATATTAAAATCAAAACACCAAGGTAATAAATTATAAAAGAGATCAACATCTCTAATTTAAATCGTTGGAGTCAAAGTCAATATCATCTTCTTCAATGTAAAGCAGCCAAACGCGTGAACAGAATAGGGCTTTCTTCTTGTTTTAATTTGGGGAAAATGTTATTTCTTTAAAATATCCTCTATTTTTTTGTCACTACTGAGTCAACTCGGTAAACTTGTCGAGCCAATCGAGTTTATCGAGTCAACTCGGTGTTTCAACCGTTTCTACACAGATTTCGTTCCTACCATCGTTCCAACACGTTTTTGGACAAAAAAATGTTGAAACAGACGTTTCTACGTTTGGAAACGACATTTTAACAACACTGGCCACCACCGCCACACCAACCACCACCACAATCGATGTCATTGTCATTGGCCACTGCCATCACCACTCTAACCACCAAGCACCAACCATCGTAGCCACCACAAGTGTCATTGGTCACAGGTCGGCGTCGCCACCACCACTTCCACCAACCACCACCACTACAGCTGCCGCTGGCCCATTAGTCAGCCATCACAATTGTCATCGATGCCATCACCACCAACCCAACAACCGCCACTTCAATTGGCCACCCAACTGCATCAGTTGCCACCACCACCAGTTACGGTCACTAGCCATCAACCACTAATATTAACAATCAATTTAAAACTTAATTTTAAAAATCTCTTTGGTTAGGATATAATATTTTGCTTTAATTTTTTTGTACTTTATTTGATATATTTTGTTCAAAATTATGATTTTTAATTTTTTTTAATAATTTAAAATAAGAACTAATGTGTAAATAAGCAAAAAAAAGTAGTTTAAAAATCAATTTTAAAAAATCATATGAAATTATGCTAAAAGGGGTATTTTTGTCAATTTATATCATATCATGATACCATATGATTTGCTTCAAATACCGGATAGGATAACATTATCCTATCAAACTACTTATCTAGTGCGTAACAAACACAGGATAGGATGATTGAGTATCTTGCCCCTATTTTAATAAATATTATCATTTTACCTTTCTTTTCAAGTTATATATCAATTTATCTTTCTTCTCAAATTATATATCAATTTGTCTCTATTTGATCAAAGTTTGACACACACTTACACGAGTAAATGAGTCCTTTATTTGATTAAATGACTTATCAAGGGCTAGAGTTTGGTCAAACTTTGGTCAAACATGGGCAAATTGATATATAGTTTAAGGAGGACAAATTGATACATAGTTTAAGAAAATGAACAAAGTTGTAAATCGATTTTAAAAAAGATTGATAAAATGGTCTATCAACCACATAGGATAAGATATGAGTTTGTCTGACCTATATCCTTTCTTACTCTTGTCTAGCCTTCCTATTATATCGATTTCTATCCTGTCTTGTCCGCCAAATGGGCTGGTAGGACCCATCGGGTGGATAAGATAGGATAGGAATGTATAGGATAGGATAAAAGGGCTGAATAAGAGTAGGAAAGGATAAGAGCCTGATAGGCTCATATCCTATCCTGTATTTGATATGCAATAGATAAACAGTTTGATAAGATAATATTATTCTATTACATGTTTGAGGGGAACTATATGGTGTCATGATATAATACAAGATAAAAATACCTTTTTTGACAGAATTTCATAGATTTTTTTAAAATTGATTTTTAAACTATTTTTTTACTTATTTACGCATTAGTTTTTATTTTAAATTATTAGAATTTTTAAAGTCACAATTTTAAATAAAATAGATAAATAACTTACAAAAATTTTCAAAATAAAAAAATTATATCCTTATCCAATAAAGTTTTAAATTGATTGTCAATATTGGTGGTCGATAGCTAGTGACAATGGCTGGTGGTGGTGGTGGTGGTGGTAGGCAGGGGTAGTCGGTTGAAGTGGTGATGGAGGTTGTGGAGGCTAGTAGCAATCGGTCGTTATGACCAGTGTTGTTAAAACGTCGTTTTCAAACCTAGAAACGTCAGTTTTTATGTGTTTGGGTCCAAAAACGTGTTGGAACGATGGTAGGAACAAAATCTATGTAGAAACGGTTAAAACTCGGTTGACTCGACGAGTTTATCGAGTTGACTCAGTACTGAAAAATAATGGAGGGTATTTTGGGGAAATCACATTTACCCCAAATTAAAATAGGAAGAAAGCCCTATTTTGTTCACGCATTTGGCTGCATTACATTGAAGAAGATGCTATTGACTTTGGCTCCAATGACTTAAATTAGAGATGTTGATCTCTTTTATAATTTTATTACCTTGTTGTTTTGATTTTAATATGTTTTATGATGATTGAGTTTGAACTTAATTTTTATTTCCTTTAGTATTTGGACTTAAATTTGTGATGACTTATGCGTTGGTGTGTTTTGGTTTTATATATGTTGGATATATTTATTTTTTGGTACATAGTAAACTCTTACATTTCGTTTACGATTTTACGTTTCTGCTTACCCCTACCGTTTCTACATAGCCTCTATGTTTTAACAACATTGATGATGACGGTGTTGGCGATGACCAATGACAGTCATGGTGGATGATTGATAGTAGTGGTGGCGATGACAATTAGTGTAGTGGTGACAGGTAGGGGTGGCCGGTTGAAGTAGTGATGGCAGTTGTAGGGGCTGGTGGTATTAGTGTACAACTTTAGCTTCTATTATTTGTTATTGTTGTAGTCTAGTTTTGGATGTATTAGATTTCTCACACTCTAGTTTGTTAGTAAGTTTTGCTTTTCTGTTAAGATTGGTTTTAGATTTGGTAGGATGCTGACTCGTAGCTAATGGATTGTGGTGACGGCGTCGACAATGACAATGACAATTATGGTGGCTGACTGATGGCGGTGGTGGTGGTGATGATGATTGATGCTTGGTGGTGGTGGTGGTGGTGGTGATGGCCAATGACGACAGCGGCGATGATGGTGGTTGGCTGGTGCTGGTGGCGGCGCTGGCGGTGACCGGTGGCAAATGTGGTGGCTGATTGATGGTAGCGGTTGTGGGGCTAGTGGTGGCGGTGATTGTTGGTGCCTGGTGGTTGAGGGTGGCTAGTTGGTTGTGGCCAACGAAAGCAATGGTTGTGGTGGTTGATGAAGTGGTAGCCAATGGAAGTGGTGTTGGTTGGTGGTCACAGCTCCAGTGGTGACGGGTGGCAATTGTAGGGGTTGATCGATGTCAATGGTGGTGGGCGATGGCTAGTGGTGGTTGGGGGGTGGAGGTAGCCGGTGACGACGGTGTTGATTGGTAGGTCATGGTGATGGTCGGTGGTGATGGTGGTGGTTGTAGAGGTGGTCGATGGACGGTAGCAGCGGCGGTGGTGGCTGTCCAGTGTCAAGGGCTAACCGTCTCGTGTGTAGTAAAGTACGTAGAAAAAGAGCATAGGATTGCATTTGGGATTAAAGGGATGTGACATCTGTTATTCTATCCTGTCTATTCCTAACTCGAGTCCTCCCTTAGGATAACTTATTCTCTTGTGGAAAGAATAAAATGAGTCAATAAGATAAGCTCATCATATTTTGTTGGTTCACCAAACAATGGATAAGTGCAGAATATGATAGCCTATCGTATCCTGTCCTCTTTATCCTAATCATCAAACAAGCCCTTATATTATCCTTTATATCCTATCCTTTTTGGTGCAATGAGGTCAAATTGATTTTCTTATTTTAGAAACCCTAAAGATTGTTAGTGAACCACATATTCAAGGAATCTAAGATAAGATGAATGCATTTGTGTTTGAATAGCAGCCTATATATGTTTGATGAGATGACTTGAATAAATTCTTTCTTACTTCTGCTATGCATATTGAGGGGTGATTGTGATGGAGCAATCTGGAATTGGCTGGTCACGGAAGTCACAAAACCTGGTAACAGAGAGAGCCTTAGTGAAGGTATCATCAGCCAACTGGTCTTGAGCTGGTATGTGACAAACGACAGGGCTTTTAGGTAGGACTTTTTCTCTGACAAAGAACAGATCCAGCTGCGTGCAGCACATGGTTATGAGAGAGGAAGACAGTGATGAGATTGTCACAGAAGATGACTGGTGTGAGAGATAAGACTTGTAACTCACGAAGTAAGTCTAGACCCACAGGATTTCTGCTGCAGGGTTGGCCAGACTCCTATATTCAGCTGCTGTACTGGATCTGGTCTCCATGGTTTGCTTCTTGAACCTCCAAGAGATAGGATTAGGACCAAGGTACAGGCCACAGTCATCAGGGTCACTGGACCAATCAGCATCACAAAAGGCATGTAAGGTGAACAGCAGCTAAGGATTAGCTGGCTGCAGGAGTAGATCATAGGTAATTTTTCCCTTAAGATATTGAAGGATTTGTTTAATCATCTTCCAGTGCTCTTCGAGAGACTCGGTAAGAAATTGGGCAGACCTTGTTTACGGTATAGCTGTTGTCAGGTCTAGATATTGTGGCATATTGTAGAGCCCCAACAATGGACCAATATAGGTGAGGGTCCTGAACATAGTCAGCTCCATGCTTAGAGTGCTTACAGCCAGCACTCATTGGTGTAGAGATGCCCTTAGCATCTGCCATTTTGGCTCTGGTAAGGAGATCACATATGTATTTGGACCGAGAAAGCAGCTTTGGAGCAGGATTTTGGCTTATGGCTGAATATCCACCAGGAATTGGTGATTGAGGTTCAGAAGATTGGTTTGAATCAGGCCCTAGAAAGGGCTCTGATACCATAACAGAAAGCGAAAGGAAGAGAAAGAAAGAGCAGAGAGAAAATGCAGGGATCTTGTCTCTGAATGTTTAGTTACAGATACAAAATGAAACTCAGTTCAGAGCTATACAGTGTAGGCTTTTATTAGTAGTAACAGATAATCACCTATCTGTCTCAGCGCGAGTCTTAACTAACAACTTAACAGAAACCTATTCCAACAGTAGCAGCATGTGATAGTAGTGTGCAGCAGTGTCCAACAGTATATACACTGTACTCTTAAAATGCATATTGATTGAGGGTCAAATTCTTCTATTGTTTCTTTTAGTATGCAAACCATGTTTAGTATGGAGGCATTCATACTTGTTTCACTTCATTGCATCAGCTAAAAAAATCTTGTGGAGATCATAAATTCAGAATGCATGGCTTCAAACAAGTTATGGTGCTGCATGCATATGGGTTAATTAAAATTTAAGAAAATATCATCAATGATTAGAAGATTAAAAAACTTGAGGGCAGTATTAAGTTGAAAATGTTAACCAAGTAGCCAACTTTTTATGCGAGTTAATTTTATATATTTTTTCCAATTAATATTCCCTAAGTGATGGTATTGTGAAATGTGACTAGTTTTTAATTTCTTCAAGTATTATGATTTCAGTTGGCACTTAACCTGATGCAATAGGTCAATAAACTTATGGTTTCTATGTTTGAGATTCATTTTTTTCTTTCATGTGTAAATTTATTGTCTGGTGATTATTCAATCAGTATCACGTTTTTAGTATCTTTGTGGGATTTATTCTGTTGTTGAGGACTGGTTGTGCATCCACATCCACTTGCATATCTGGGTTTTGTTGATGTTTATCTGATCTGATGCATTCTTTGAGAAATTTCATGACATATTCAATCTTCTGGGTTTCCCTAAACAATTTTTGCAGAAGGTATCTCAGCTCATGGGTCGGGTTGCACGTCTCAATGAAGCATTTTCAGTTGTGAGACGTGTTCCCATAGTACGACCATCTCTGCCAACCTCAAGTGTTACTCTGAGGCCTGTGATGAGTATGAGATGAATGATTTCACAAATGACTTGATTGGAAATAGTGTGAAATAATGTTTGTAATACTACAAAAAAATCCTTTTGCATGAAAACATGTATCTATTATGTGTGTGGTGGGCGTTGAATTTATGAAGCTTTTCAGTGGCTTCCTGTATATGACATCATATCATACTCACTGTTAATTTTATGTCTTGCAAATATGTTTCTGCTGTGAAAATTACTTTTCTTTCGGGGTAATACTGCAAATAAAATAAAAATAAATAAAATTTACAGTCTTGGATGTAAAGTGGAGTTTATTTAGTTATGATCGTTAACTAGGAAATTGCCAAAAGTAATAGCTTATAATACTATTTTGGTTTTAGATTTTGTGATAAAATTTACGAGGTTCTGGGGTTGAGACTGTAAGTCTGTAACAACTAACAGGTGAATCGGCAAAGCAATAGGTTGATTTTTTTTATATTTTCATTGTTAACCTTACTAAAGAAAATAAGATAATTTATTTTTAACCGAAAGCTAAAACTCATAAAAAGTAGAGTAAATACCCTTTTTCGTCCTTGGAAATTTTTGCGAAGCACAATTTAGTCCCTCGATTTAAAAAAGTCACATTTCAGTGTCTTGTTTTTTAAAAAAAGGGACACGTTTATCCTTCTGTTAAGTGGAAAGTGACGGCCCTGTTGACGGACGCCACCTGGAACGTTAAGTGGCTGAGTCACTAACGCCTTGCCCTCGTGGAGAGAAAACGACGTCGTTTAGATAGGCCCCTTGTGTCTAGTTGGATGTTTGGACATGTGACTGTTGCATGAAAGGGTGAGTGACCCAATATAGTCCCTGTCAAATTAGAAATCCTAAATCAGCCTAAGAATAAAAAAACCCCCAAAACATAATTTGTTGAAGATTGAAAATAGTGTCAAGTAGAAGGTGTTTACTGGCTATTTTCTGGTGCGTAGAAGACGATGAGTATGTCATCTGGCTTGGGGGGATGAAGTGGGACTACGTCTTTTGGGTGTCAGATGTTGGTGAGCAAGAACTGAGTATGAATGAAGTGGGATTACGTTCTTGTCACTAACTGATTCTTACTTTCTTGAACAACCTGACGGAATGGAGGTCGAAGGTGCAAGATGTTGGTGAGCAAGAACTGAGTATGAATGTGCAGGAAAGAATGCTGTGATGATTGCAAGTGTTGTAACAATGAAATGTTATGTACGAAATGTAGTTTTTCTTCAATGAAATTTAATGACTTGTTGAGAAGATGCAATGTAGTTCTGTTATTTGGGCTATAAAATGTGTTTATGTGTATAATGCTAACTTCATGCTTCAATACAGTAAATGTCAAATTTGTTGCTGCAAATGGGAATTTGAGAACTGGATATTGGAACGTAATGATTTAAACTAGACCCCAAATTAGTCCCTGGAATTATGTATCGAGGGCCAAATAGGTCCTTGAAAAATGCTATCGGGGCACGTTTTGGTCCCTCACAGTTAAAAATTGGACATGACCTGTTTAGACTAAATTGGACACAAGCTGCAACTTAAAAGCTGCATTTTTTATTCAAAAAAAAAAAAAAGCTGCATTTTAAAACTTGCATTTTAATCCATGACACATTGGATTGCAGCATAAGCCAGATTGCAGCAAATGGCAGTACATAATTGAATTCAACAAAGGAACTTGTAGTAAAAAATGCAGCAAAAGAAACTTGTAGTCAATGAAGATATGAGACAGTACAGAGACATAATGCAGCAAAAATTGGACATGAACATATTGCATTGAATTGTGTCCAAACAGCAACGACCAAAACCCAAACATCAACCACCTGCATTGTAGGCAGAATGAAAAAGACTCATACACAAATTCAAAAATAACCATACAGATACATATCGCAGCAAAGAGAAAAAACTGATATAAAAAAGAAACTTGTAGTCATTCATAATGGAACTTGTAGTCAGTTACAATTCAAAACTCTTCCATCATAATTAAAGGCCTGCCAGAAGTTATGGTCCACATAAACCATTGTAAATCATCCTTCAAACTATTCTCCTGTTGTTTTTTTTTGCTTCAAAATACTCCCAAACAGAGACATATTGTGATTCAAAAAAAAAAGCATACACTTCAGTTAAATGTCTTAAATACAAAAAAAGTGGGGGCACCAAAAATTACAGTCATGGACATTGTTGCCTATACAACAAAAAGTGAACCCCTATATAAAAAAACTGTATCCAGATTTCATTCAAGCTGGTCTTGGTGGCCTAAACCCAGGTGTGGCCATGAATTCCATAAGCATGCTCCTTGTGCCACTGCTTGTTGCATTGACAGTTTCAGTTGACAAATGTTCTGCTGGTGGTGTGGCTGTAGGTGGTGGGCTGTTGGCCCTAATGGCTTCATCAGGTGCCTGGGACTGCCTTGAAGGTCCTCCTTGACTCAGAGGGTTCTCCTCTTGATGTGGAGCTGCTATGTTGACATTAACTGCATGTGAAGGTGCTGCTGCTATCCTCCCTCTCTTGCTTGTAGCTGGTCCCTTACAGGTCTTGGCATAATGACCAGATTGCCCACATTTACCACAAACTGCAGCACGTGCCCTCTTTAATTTTTTTGTTTTGCTCACTTGCTCCTCAGGTTCATCCTTCTTCCTATGCTTTTTGGGATGGCCAATAGGCCTTTTCAGTGGTGGAGGAATGGGTTTAGGCTCAGATGAAGCAGGCCAATATTGTTCCGAATTTACAGGGTTCAAGGTATGTGCATAAGTGGCATGCAAAGCATCCACTGTCAGCCACTGATGGACATAAAGCTCTGCTGGTTCATTCTTGTGGCATATTGCAGCAATTGCATGCTCACATGGCATTCCTGTGAGCTGCCAGACATTACATGCACAAGTCTTGTATGTAAGATTGACACCGACCCTTTCACCCTTTGCAGTCACTTCATATAAGTCTTGCTCCAAGTTCCCTGTCCAAGTTGGTGTCCAGGAGTTGCTTAACACCTTCAATTGATCCAGCTTTTTCTGTTGAGCTGGGGCAATTTTACCCCTAACAGTACCCAGAATTCGTTGATGGGTAGCCATTCTCCTCATGATATAGCATCTCAGTTCTTCACATAGGATGACAATGGGCTTGGACCTATATGCAACAATTTTTGCATTCCACACCTCAGCCATGTTGTTGGTTATATTGTCACACTTGGGCCAGTGACTAAAATATGCCTTAACCCAGCATGAAGGGTGAATCTTGTTGAGGTATGCCCAAGCATCTTCATTCAACTCCTTCAATTTATCCATTGTTCTTTGGAATTGGGGCACAATTGTGCATCGTGCAGCCTCCCATATTATTCCTCTAATGGCTTTGTCCTTCCATTGCTTAATAAAATTCTTCCACACGTGCTGCACACAGAACCTATGATGGGCACCAGGCATGACCTCCTGTAATGCTGGTATCAAACCTTGCATCCATATATCAAGCAACAACAAAAGTGATCACACATGGCTAGTAATGAACAACTTTTAAAAAAGGAAAAAAACCTTTGAAAAAAACATACCTTTTGCTGATCACTTATGAAGTTCCATCCATGCACTACACAACTGCCAATGTCTTCTTGTAGCAAGGTCAGAAACCACTTCCAATTTTCCTTGGTCTCACTGTCAACAACTGCAAAAGCAATGACATAAAAGCTCTTGTTTGCATCTTGTCCCACTGCACTCAATAGCTGTCCCCCATAGTAACCTTTCAAGAAACATCCATCCAGTCCAATCAATGGTCTACAACCAGCTTTGAATCCTTTCTTGCAGGCATCAAGGCAGACATACAGTTTGTTAAAAATTGGTGGGCTGTTAGGGACTGGTTGTGGAATTACTTGCATCTGGCAAGTGGAGCCAGGGTTGCTCCTCAAAAGCTCAGCTAGGTAGTCCCTTAGCTTTCCATACTGTTCCTTCTCACTTCCTTCTATGTTTTGTTTGGCCTTGTGTAGTGCCTTCCCTAATTTCTTCAGATGAACATGGACCTTGTACTCTTCCTTTAAATGGTCATAAGCCTCGGCTCTTGTCATATTGGGCTGTGTGACCAGCCTTTTCTCCAACTTTGCAGCAACCCAATCCCTGGTGGCCCTTTTATTTTTGAAAATTCTGTAGCAGGTATGGTTGTCATTGAATGTCTTGACTTGGAAACAATTGAATTTGTTGCTCCAAGAACAATATATCATCCACTCACAGTCAGCATTTGAGCACTTGGCTCTTGATCTTACCTTGTCATTCTTAAGCCATACAAACTGCCTCCCAAGACTTATATTGTAGTCTTTGACACCTTGTTTAAAGTGCTCCAAACTGGCAAACTCCATTCCAAGCTCGAGCTGTACTAAACCAAAGGGCTGGTCCTCATTAAACTTAGGAAACACTTCCCTTTCAACCTCCTCATCCCCACTTGAAGGTGGAGTCTTCAATTCTTCAGAATTGTAACCATAGCCTTGATCTTCAAATGACATATTCTGCTCATCCTCAGAATTGTTAACTGTCTTTTTTTCCTTCTTTCCTTTCACCTTCTTTTTCAATGCAATAATTGGTTCATCATCTGTATCGTCTTCAACACCCGGTGGCGGAGGCTTATAAGGCTCGTCTTCTACACTGTCATATGAATCACTTGACAATCCATTGCCTTCCCCCTCTTCATATTCATCATCGAGAGTCATATGGGAGTCAGACAAACTGTCAACTGAATCACCTAATACCCCCTCCTCATCAGCACTTTCAGGAGGGGTTGGATCTGCAGCCCCACCCAAAATCTCAGGAATTGCAATGCAACCATCAAAATATATGTCTATTTTGTTCCCATTACTTAAGGCAGCCTTGACCATTTGCAAAATATCAGAATCTTTTTCAAGAAGATGCAACTCAACCTCTAAATCACTCTCACCAGGCTTCAACCACCACATCCGCCTACATTTGTGGTAACCATACCCCTTGAACAGAGCTTCAAGGTCACAAAGGTTTACATAGTCTCCATCCATTTCTGGTAAATCATCCACTCTCCCATTCACATAATTCAGCTTCCCTTCATCATTCCTAACCAACACACCACCATGATGATATCTCATGACTATATACTGATCCATCTCCATATAAAACAGAACATAATCATTTTTTACACTACCATCATATTAATTTACAATATCATACAAGTAATCACTACTTAACAATATGGCTTTAGGGCTTTTTTAATG